CTTGATTTGCCTGTGTCAGTCACTTAAATCACACTCTACCTTGGTTTCACTTTCTGAAAGCAGGAAGCACAATAGCTAACTCTAAGGAAAGTTATGAAGCTGAAAAAAAGTTTGGAAAAGTCCAAAAAGCTTCGACTTGTGTATGAGGTTGAACAAATCTCATTGTCTAGTTTAATAACCCCCACCCAGGCTTCTCTCACTTGGTGAGCTTCTTGGCCATACCACCTTTCCTCACTCTGTGCTCAACTGCCTGCATGCCCCTTCAGTCCCTGGTGGCATCACACCAGGGAACTGTCTTTTTTTCCACCCTGAGCTTTGCCTTTTATCAGCCTGGGTGGCTAAGTATTAGGATGACTACGTGTCTCAGTTTACTCAGAACAGTTCAGGCTCATGCCAGTTATTTCTGTGTTGATTGTAATTTTTAATGATGTTTTCTTTCACTTCCAGAGGGGACCAGAAATGATATGATGGTTTGTCATGACCTGCCTCTCAGTTCCTTGATGTCCTCATTTTCAAGGATTATCCCTTTCACCGTACTCCAGTCCTCACATTTCCCCTGGCCACAGGCTGGCCGTGCCACTCAGAATCACCCTCCTCAACATTGAAAATGCGAACATCTCTCTTTGACCATAACTCCTCTCCTTCCAACTTCATCATCCGCCTTCTTTTACTCCTGTCTTTTCTTCTTTCCTCATGTACCTCACCTGTCTTGGTATATATTGTCTATCATTCTTGTCAGCATTTCATTGGCCCCATTGGCCTGGCATCTCACCTGCCCAGAAAATTTCCGGTGTAGATTCATCTATCATCAGCCTTCTCTAGATTGGCCTGGAAGGTCAAGGGTTGCTGGATAACCTCATACAACCATACAGTCTGAGGCCACTAGATTCTTGGTCAAAAGATGGCATGATTGAATATGTGCTTCTGACAGGATACCTTGCCTACAATGTGGAGGATATCCTGGAAGGGAGGATCTAACAAGCAGAGACCAAAGAGGAGCTGTTGATTCACCAAAACTTTACTGAGTACCTCCTTTGTGCAGGCACTGTTCTAGGTACCGGAGATAAAATAGTCCACAAAACTAAAAAAACCTTTGCTCTCAGCAAACTTGCATTTTAGTGAAGGAATTTAGACAATAGGTAACTGTATTAGTGTAGGTTCTCCAGAGAACAGAATCAATAGGAGATATCTCTCTCTTTCTCTCTCTCTCTCTCCACAACACACACATTCTCCAGTCCAAATCTGAATCTGAAGGCAGGAGAAGACGAATGTCCCAGCAGAGAGAGAATTTTTATTCACTTAGCCTTTTGTTCTATTCAGGCCTTTAACAGACTGGATGAGGTCCATCCACATAGGGAGGGCAATCTGCTTTACTCAATTCACTGATTCAAATGTTATTTTCATTCAAAAAAAAAAAAAACCCTCACAGACACACCCAGACTATTGTTTTATAAGTATTTCGGCATCCAGTCAGACTGACACCCAAAACTAACTATCACAACAAGTAAGTAAATAAGTAACATGTTATGAAGTATAAGTGCTATGGAGAAAAAAAATAAAGTGGGAAAGGAGGATAAGAAAAGCCAGCAGTTGATGTTTTATTTTTATTTCTTTAAGTATATTTTATTGAGTACGCTATTACAGTTGTCTCATTTTACCCCCTTCACTCCCCTCCCCCCTGAACACCCCCTCCCACCCCCCTTTAGTTCATGTCCATGTGTCATAACTTCTTTAGCTTCTACATTTCCTATACTATTCTTGCCCTCTCCCTGTCTATTTTCTCCCCACCATCTATGCTATTTATTCTCTGAACCTTTTCCCCCTCTCCTCCTCCTACTGCCCTGTTGCTAACCCATTTCCGTGGTTCTGTTTCTATTCTACTTGTTTGCTTAGTTTGCTTTTGTTTTAGGTGTGGTTGTTAATAACTGTGAGTTTGCTGTCTTTTTACTGTTCATATTATTTATCTTCTTTTTCTTAGATAAGTCCCTTTAACATTTCATAAAATAAGGGCTTGGTGATGATGAACTCCTTCAACTTGACCTTATCTGAGAAGCACTTTATCTGCCCTTCCATTCTAAATGAAAGCTTTGCTGGATAGAGCAATCTGGGATGTAGGTCCTTGTCTTTCATAACTTGGAATACTTCTTTCCAGCCCCTTCTTGCCTGCAAGATCTCTTTTGAGAAATCAGCTGACAGGCTGATGGGGACTCCTTTGTAGGTTACTGTCTCCTTTTCTCTTGCTGCTTCTAGGATTCTCTCCTTCATTTTTACCTTGGCTAATGTAATTATGATGTGCCTTGGTGTGTTCCTCCTTGGGTCCAACTTCTTTGGGACTCTCTGAGCTTCCTGGACTTCCTGGAAGTCTATTTCCTTTGCCAGATTGAGGTAGTTCTCCTTTATTACTTGTTCAAATAACTTTTCCACTTGTTGCTCTTCCTCTTCCCCTTCCCCTTCTGGTACCCCTATAATTCGGATGTTGGAACATTTAAAGATGACCTGGAGGTTCCTAAGCCTCTCCTCATTTTTTTGAATTCTTATTTCTTCATTCTTTTCTGATTGTATGTTTTTTCCTTTCTTCTGGTCCACTGCATTGATGTGAGTCCCAGCTTTCTTTCCATCACTATTGGTTCCCTGTGCATTTTTCTTCATTTCATTTAGCATAGCCTTCATTTTTTTCATCTAATTTGCGACCAAAATCAACCAATTCTGTGAGCATCCTCATCACCAGTGCTTTGAACTGTGCATCTGATAGGTTGGCTATCTCTTCATCACTTAAAAGTATTGGCTCTGCAGCTGTGATTTGTTCTTCTGTTTGAGCCATTTTTTCAGTGGGGGGGTCTGGTCACACCTGTTATGTATGAGGGGCAGAGCCTTAGGTGTTCACCAGGGCGGGACAACCCACATTGCTGGGTTGTGATGCTGTATGTGGGGGCGGGGTCAGAGGGGGACAATGGCGCTTGCTCCACTGTCTGTCAGATTTCAGTCTCCTCTGCTGCTTCCCACAAGCAAACTGGGCCTTTCTGGTGCTGGTTCCTGGGTGGGTGGGCTTGTGTATGTTCTAGGACCCTGTGGGTCTCTCCAACAAACTCTCCTGTGAGGCTGGGAGTCTCTCCCAGCACCTCAACCTCCACAAGTGTTTTCAATCAGTGCTTTTAGGCTTTATTTCCCAGCATTGGGGCCCTGGATTGCATGGTCTGTCTCATTGCTCATTTTCACCTGGTTTATCTGTGCATGAATGTGTGATTGTGGACAGCCAGGTGCCTTGTGCACCTCACCGGGTCAGCTCGTTGCCTCCCTGCACCTGTGTCCAGGGTCTGCCATGGGGGTCTGATAGCCATCACCTGCATCCTACATGCATGCGTCTACCAGCCACCACTTTTTTCTGCTGCGACCCCTCTCCTCTGGCTACCAACTCTGTCCCTCTTACCAGTCTGGATGAATAGTTGTCATGACTTCTGTACAGTTCAATTTTCTGTCTGTTCTGGTTGTTTTTTTGTTTCTAAATTTTTGTCCTTAATTTTGGTTGTGCAAGGAGGCACAGTGTGTCCACCTATGCCCCCATCTTAGCTGGAAGTAGCAGTTGATGTTTTAGATGGGATAGTTAAGGTAGCCCTCTCTGAGAAAGTGATAAGTGAAAACTTGAATGAAATGAGGGAGTAAAACCTAAAAATGAGGGAGATATCAGGAGGAACAGCATTCTAGGGAGAGGAAACAAGTTCAAAGGCTTCGAGGTTGGACTAGGCTGGCCATATTCAAGAACATGGAGTAGGACCCAGGACAGCAAGAGGGAAAGTAGAAGTTGATAAGGTTTGGAGAGGAAACAGGGTCCCACACAGAACCTTGTGGGTCGTTGTAAGGAGAGTGGCTAACATTGGGTGTGACATGGAGGGTTAAGAGTGGAGTGACATGACCCAAATTATACTTAGAAGCAGGCTAGGGCAGAAGCAGGGACACTAGTTGGAAACCACTGGTAATCCAGGCAAGAGACGATGGTGGCTGGGACCAGCTTGTTAGCTGGCAGGGTGGTGGGAAGTGGTTGGACTCTGGATATATTCTGAAAGTAGAGCTGGCAGAACTTCCTGATAGATTTCTTGCAGAGTGTGAGAGATAATACCAAGTGTTTTTCACCTAAGCAACTAGAAAAAATTGAGCTGCCATTAACTGAAATGGAAAGGACAGACTGCAGGAGAGCAGGTTTATGGGAAAGATTAGGAGCTCAGTGTTGGATATGGTTCATTTGAGATGTCTGTTAGACATTATAGTGGAGATGTCAAGTAGGCATTTTGGGATAAAATTAAAGATAGAGGTCTGAAATAGGACTGAGAATCAACATAGAGATGGCATTGAAATCCATGGAACAGAATGAGATCTCCCATGGAGTAAGTATAGGTAGAAAATAGGAATTAAGATCCTGGCTGGTGTGGCTCAGTGGACTGAGAACCAGAAAGCAAAGCAAAGGGTTACTGTTTTGATTCCCAGTCAGGGCACATGTCTGGGTTGCAGGCCAGGTCCCCAGTAGGGGACGTGTGAAAGGCAACCACACATTGGTGTATCTCTCCCATTCTTTTTCCCTCTCTTCCCCTCTCTCTAAAAATAAATAAATAAAGTCTTCTAAAAAATAAAATGTGAATTAAAAAATGAGACTTCTAGCCAAGAATGGAGGGGCAGGTAGATACACTTTGCCTCCTCACATAACCAAAAGGACAACAATCAATTTAAAAACAAAAACAACCAGAACTGCCAAAAACTCAAACTGTACAAAAGTCCAACAACCAAGGAGTTAAAGAAGAAACATTCATCCAGACTGGTAAGAGGGGCAGAGATGGGCAGCCAGGGTGGAGAGGATGTGTGGCAAGGTGGTGGCTGGAGAACCAGGTAGAGGAGGCTGGTGGTCCCACATTCACATGTGGATAAACTGGGAGAAACAAGTTGGGAGCAAGACAGACTGAGAAACCCAGTGTTCCAGCACAAGAAAAGAAAGCCTTAAAACCTCTGGCTATGTGCTCACTTCAGCAGCACATATGCTAAAATTGGCATGATACAAAGAAGATTAGCAAGGCCCCTACACAAGGATGACATGCAAATTCTTGAAGCATTCCATATTTTTAGGACACATGGACAAAACCAAAGGGGGTTAGGATCAAGGGTGAGAAGTGGGGATGGTTGGGGTGAGGGGGAATGGTGGTGGTGGGGAAATGGAGATAACTGTACTTGAACAACAATAAAAAAAGTTAAAAACAAAACAAAACAAAAACCTGGCTGTAAAAATCTGTGGGGGTTGCAGCAGTGGGAGAAACTCCCAGCCTCACAAAAGGGTTCATTGGACAGACCCACAGGGTCCTAGAACGTACACAAACTCACCCACCCACCCAGTAATGAGCACCAGAAGGGCCTGATTTTCTTGTGGGTAGTGGGGGAAGTGACTGAAAGTGAGCCAAGAGCTGAGCAAGTGGCATTGTTCTCTCTCAGATCCCTCCCCCACTTACAGCACCACAATTCAGCAAAGTGGCTTTCAGTCATTTCTGTGAGCATCCTGATTACCAGTGTTTTGAATTCTGCAGCTGATAGATTGGCTATCTCCTCGTCACTTAGTTCTTTTTTTGGAGTTTTGATCTGTTCTTTCATGTGTACCACATTTCTTTGTCTCAGCACACCTGTTGCTTCTATAAGGGGCAGAGCCTTAGGAATTTGCCAGGCAGGGCAATCCACTTCACTGCATTGTGCTGCTGTATGTGGGGGAGGCATCAGAGAGGGAACAATGCCACTTGCTCAGCTCCTGCCCCACTCTCAGTCACTTCCTCTGTTACCTACAAGCAAATTGGGCCCTTCTGGTATTGATTCCAGGCAGGGGGGTCTGTGCATGTTCTAGGGACCAGTGAGTCCCTCCAACAGACTCTCCTGTGAGACTGGGAGTTTCTTGTGCCACTGCAGCCCCCACAGGTTTTTGTAGTCAGGGGCTTTGAGGCTTTATTTCCCCACGCTGGAACCCTGGGTTGCATGGTCTCTCTCACTCCCCAGTTGTTCCTCCCAGTTTATACACAAATGAATGTGGGACTGCCACTCCACCAGCCACTGTCTTGCCATGCATCCTCTCCACTCTGCCTGCCCATCTCCACCCGATCTGCATGGATGTTTCTTCTTTTAACTTTTTGGTTCTTTGTCTTCCATACAATTCAACATTCTGGCAGTTCTGATTGTTTTTGTTTTTAAATTGGTTGTTGTCCTTCTTTTGGTTGTTCAAGAAAGCAAAGCAGAGACTTCCGGCAAGATGGAGGCATAGGTGGATGAACTGTACCTCCAAGTACAACCAAGATTAGAACAACAACAATTTAGAGGCAGAATAACACCCAGAACTGATAGAGAATTTACCTGAATGGAAGTTGGACAGCCAAGAAATTGAAATAGACCCATTCATCCAGACCGGTAGGAGGGGCGAGATGAGCAGCAGCTGGGTGCCGGTCGCGGCGCGCAGTGCACGGAGAATGGGGAGAACTGGGCGCAAAAAGCAACCGGGAGTGCGTAAGCCATCAGGGGCACACAAGATCGCAGTGGGTGGACCCTGAGTACGCAAGCGGCAGCTGGCAGATCCAGTGAGGCTGCAATTGTGAACCAGGGCAGAGCGCACACCCCAGGATCCCAGAGAAGGGACTGAGATCCCAGGAGAACTGAGCTACCGCCATTGTTCCCTCCTGCCCCCGCCTCCACATACAATGTCACAAACTAGCAACTGGGGTGCCCAGCCCCGTTGAACACGTAAGCCTCACCGTAACAGGAGTGACATGTCTCAAATAGAAAAAATAGATCAATGCCCCAGGGCTCATCCTTTTGAGCAATCAAGAAATAGCCAATCTATCAGATGCACAGTTCAAAACACTGGTGATCAGGAAGCTCATGGAATTGGTTGATTTTGGGTGCAAATTACATGAAAAAATGCAGGTTACCATAAAAGAGATGAAAGAAGATGCACGGAGAACTAATAGTGATGGGAAGGAAACTGGGACTAAAAACAATAGAGTGGACCAGAAGGAAGAAAAAAACATCAAGCAGGAAAGAATGAAGAAATAAGAATTCAAAAAAAACGAGGAGAAGCTTAGGAACCTCCAGGACATCTTTAAACGTTCCAACATCCGAATTATAGGGGTACCAGAAGGGGAAGAGGAAAAACAACAGATTGAGCACATATCTGAACAAATAATAAAGGAGAACTTCCCCACTCTGGCAAAGAAAATAGACTTCCAGAAAGTCCAGGAAGCTCAGAGAGTCCCAAAGAAGTTGGACCCAAGAAGAAACACACCAAGGCACATCATAATTACATTAGCCAAGGTAAAAATGAAGGAGAGAATCCTAGAAGCAGCAAGAGAAAAGGAGACAGTGACCTACAAAGGAGTCTCCATCAGCCTGTCAGCTGATTTCTCAAAAGAGACCTTACAGGCAAGAAGGGGCTGGAAAGAAGTATTCCAAGTCATGAAAGACAAGGACCTACATCCCAGATTGCTCTATCCAGCAAAGCTTTCATTTAGAATGGAAGGGCAGATAAAATGCTTCTCAGATAAGGTCAAGTTGAAGGAGTTCATCATCACCAAACCCTTATTTTATGAAATGTTAAAGGGACTTATCTAAGAAAAGAAGATAAAGAAAAAACATGTATAATAAAAGGACAGCAAACTCACAATTACTAACAATCATACCTAAAGCAAAACCAAAAGAAACTAAGCAAACAACTAGAACAGGAACAGAACCACAGAAATGGACATCACATGGAGGGTTAGCAACAGGAGAGTGGGAGGAGGAGAGAGTAGGAAAAGGTACAGAGAATAAGTAGCATAGATTGTAGGTTGAAAATAGATAGGGGGAGGGTAAGAATAGTATGGGAAATGTAGAAGCTAAAGAACTTATAAGTATGACACATGGACATGACTAAAGGAGGGGATATGGGTGGGAGAGGGTGTACAGGGTGGAGGGGAGTGAAGGGGGGAAAATGGGACAACTGTAATAGCATAATCAATAAAATATATATATAAAAAAAAAGAAAGCAAAGCATATCTACCTATGCCTCCATTTTGGCCAGAAGTCCTTGGACATAAATTTTCAAATCAGTTGGGCAATTAAACAAGCTTTTGACCAACCATTCCTCTTCTTGGTTCTACCTTCACACTTACTTCCAGAGGAAAGGAATGTCTCCCGTTCCCATGCCTTTTGGGCTTCTGCACTGTAAATTAGCTTGCTTCATGACTTTTTACCTGTATTTTTATGATTCAGTTTTCTTTATTCTACTAAGGCTAGTTACACTCTTACATGAGCTTCCCAGCCTGGAAAATTATGTTGCATAATTCCCTCTCTTAGTCCCATTATTTTTGTTGGTTTACCTTTTCTTGACCTTTTACTCTCATTTTAGAAAATGATGGAGTGAAAGCTAATATCAGTGTTCAACCCACCAAGTTCAACCAGAAGTACCTTCTCTTCCTTTTTCAAAGGCTGAGATTTGATCTCCCAGGGGATATAGCAGGGAGAGCCATTGTTTGTTAAGTCCTAGATGCTGTGACTCCAGTCATGTGAGAAGAGCCTCTGCTTCAAATCTCTGTCCCAGAGAGGGCCTCAGTCCTAACCCCCTGCCCTTGGTGAGTCCTTCCTGAGGGCTTTGAAGACCTAAACCTACTGAGAAGGGAAGGGCATTGGCTCAACATTCTGAGCTGGAGATCTCAGAGCAAGGTTATGTCTAGCTATGGCTTAGCCCAAGGAAATAACACAAATGATGGGTGGGCTTAGGAATAGAGAGCAAGAATCCCACCAGTAAACTTGTCTCTCTGGCATATCCATCTCAACTTCTTAAGAATGTCTTGCAGCAAACTTTCTGGGGAGAATGATAAAGATGGTGACATTCAGGATTAGAGTCAAGGAACTGAATGACTGGTCATTGAGTAGAATCACTTCCCTCTGACTACCCTCTAATATCCTTTGCCCTTATCTCATTCACACTACTGAGAGTGCCCTCTCCCTGGGCGATTCCATCCATCCAGTGCCCTCACTGGCGGGCTCCAGGCAGATCCATCCCAAGGACTCCCCAGGTTGTATCTCCAGCCACAGTCCCCTACCTTACCTCTAGCTGGGCAGAGATGCTTTTCGCTGGATGTACCACAGATATTATAGCCACTTGTACTCTGTATCACACTTCATTTTTAAGATCTGAGCCCATCATCTGTTTTGGGTTTCTTAAGGATTCTTCACGTATCTGGTTCACTTCCATATCTTCTCCTTGTTTCTAAGAACTGTTATGTATTTATTTGGTAACATTTAAATATCTTTGCTATAATTTTTTTAGGTCTTTGGGTGGGGGGCGAGATAGCTGTGTGACTTGAAAGTTAGAAGAGCATGTATGTCCTTTACTGTTTTTTTAAAAGATTTTATTTATTTATTTTTAGAGAGGGAAGGGAGGGAGAAAGAGAGAGAGAGAGAAACATCAATGTGCGGTTGCTGGGAGCTGTGGCCTGCAACCCAGGCATGTGCCCTGACTGGAAATCAAACCTGTGATACTTTGGTTCACAGCCCGTGCTCAATCCACTGAGCTATGCCAGCCAGGGCTACTGGGGTTTATTTTTGAAGGGTCTTATGGTATTTCTCCTTCAACCTCAACAGTCTCAAGATGAGTAAGAGTCTGCGTTCCTCAGAGAATGATATTTCCAAACCTCTTGAACAGTTTAGGGTGCATTTGGTAGTTTCTCTTACAGTTTATTTTGACCATCATTCTTTTTCCTCCATCATTAACTCATTTCTCACTGGGGTAAGAACAGCTTCCCAAATCTCTGGATTCCCTGTTAGAAACACACTGGAAGTTTTGTTCCCATGGGAAGGGTGGTATTAAAATCTGCTCCTTAGGATGACTCCATAGCTATTTAATCAATTACCAGGGACTTATGCAATATTCTCATTATCCTCAGGCCTATACCAGTAAACATTTATTGCCTACTAGATAGAGCCCAAATGCCTTATCCTGTAATGAAAGCCACTCAGCATTTGCAGTACTATTACTCTTATCTCAGGGCTGCAAAGAATCAGCAGTGAGGTCAAAAGTGTGGCTCTGCAGCTAGACCACTTGGGTTCCAAGCTGAT